TTTCATAGGAAGAGCTGTCATCTCTATCTTCCATCATCCATTCCCTGTAATCAGTCCTAGGATCCAAGGCACTAATGCTAAGGCTCAGATTCATACCCAGAAGAGACTAGACTGCTATTAAGCGGTTAAGGTAGAAGATCTCAAATCATTAGCTTCGGTGAACAAGATCAAATAGCTCCTCTTTCAGGTTATAAACTAGAACTTGCACGAGGTATCAAATGTATCAACACTTGATTTCACCAACAAATATGTATAGTTGTAGATTCCGCGAATCTTTTATGTTCTACCCAATAGGCCCCGCTTGCCCAAGCCCAAAGGCCAGTTTGAAGAAGGTCCGTGAAAAGTAAACGAAACTGCCGTGTTCTAAGGGCCGGGACAGGCTAGGCAATTAACCCCAGAGAACCAAGGAATGGAAGCAGAAGAAGCATTATAAGCTGACGGCTTTACTCATCCTTGGTTGCTGCCTCGTCGCCGAAGCGAGTAGAGAGAACATAAGAGTATATCACACTCACTTCATCTAAATCATTTTTTTAACAAAAAAATCTAAAATAAAGAAAGATTCCCTGCTGTCTATCTGTCCCGCCATAGGTTTTTCTAAGGCTCAAAGTCCAGAGTTCTTTGACGCTCATGGACGGTCTGTGAAGGGTCTGGGAGGTTACCAATACCGAGCCCCTTCCTGCCCGAGGCTGTTCCATACCCCGGAAAAATGAGTGGTACAGATTCCTTCCAATAGGAGAGGTTCTTAGTTCTCAACCACCACCGGTAGTAAATTCCTAGAGATAGAACCAGATCGTACAACTTTCACATTCAAGCAAAAGGAATGAGATTAACATCCCTACTTCTTTGGTTTAAAGTCTCTACTCGGGAAGTCAGGCGAAGGAAAAAGACCCTTTGGCTTGAGGTGGTGAGTAGAAAGGGGTCGATTATCTATCTATGACGCATCAAATCGACTGAGATCAAGAAATCCTGAGTAACGAGATCTATTCTTCACACGAATCAACGAACGACTCGTCAGATTCGAACTGACATAGGTTTTTGACCTATCTTCTACCAAAAAGGAGCCGCTTTGGTGACGCGGTTCGGGCGGGGGGGCCTGACATCCGCGGGTTCCATGTCAAGAGAGAAGGACGGGACGGGAGAGGCATTTTCGGGGACTAGCAGCTGTTCTAGATGTGGACACCTTTTAGGATTGTTTACATGTTTTGCGTGAGTGTCACTTTGCTAAATTGATCTGGAACATCTTTATTCCCACTGAGCATCAAAGTGCCTTCTACTCCTTGGCATTCACGGATTGGTTATGCAGCAATGCTTCTTGTAAAGATCTTAAGTTTGGTTTTGATTGCCAGTGGCGTACGACCTTATGTGCGATAGCATGGAATATTTGGGTTTGGAGGTGTCGAGCTGTTTTTGATGGAGACTTTATTCTCCCTCATGATCCTAACCGGAGGATTGCTAACGATGTTTAAATTGCTGTCTCTGCTTTCTATTCGAAGAAAACGGAGCCAAGTATGCAGGTAACCAAGTTTCTTGCTTGGGAATTTCCTTCCGTTCAAATAAAAAAAAAATAGGGATGGTGCTTCTAAGAGGAACAAAGACTTGCATGGTGCTGCCACGGGACATTCGTCGGGGTGCTGGTGGCCTTCCCCGAGACTGTTCAGGAACATCTTGATGTGGGTATACCTGAAAAATTCCTCAACCTTCGCCCAGAAATGAAAGAACTTAAAGGGTATATTGACCTTTCTAAACTAAATGCTAGATCTAACAATACAAGGGCAATGATCAGAAATGCCTCTAGGCAAAAATGCCGCTTCAGTAATAGCCTATCTTTTCTCTAGCCTGGAGCCGGCACTCCTAAACCTAAAGCAGTTAGCAAGCAGTTAACCATCTTTCTCAATATCCTCTACGCCTACTTCTCTTCCGAATCCAAGACTTGTTTCAAACTTTAAAGCAGTCAATCAAGCAGCACTTACCGCTATTCCATATATAGCATAGAGCTCTTACACAGCGCCTAATAGGCTAGCTGAACTATAAAGGCTGGATTTCCCCGATGGAGAGGCAACCAAAAGGCTGTGCTCAGTCTTTTCAGAATCGGATTGGACTGGAGAAAAGAAAGCAATTCATGCAGAATCGGACTGGAGAATGCGATTCATGCAGAATCGGATTGGACTGGAGAATGCCATTAATTGCTATATGAAGTGGAATAGCCAGATGCGAACTGGTGTTACCAGCACAGGATGCAAATAGGTTGCCCAGACGAGGTCTTTCATCCACTAGTACGAGGAAGGTTAAGGAGCTAGGTGCTTTAAGGCTAGCGGAAGGATGTTCTTCCCAAGAGTGGTACTCAGAAGAAGAAAAGGTTGTTGTTCCCGCAGCACTCATTGATACTGAAAAGTGGTCGTGAAAGGAGACTGCTTTTGCTTTGAATGCTTACCCAAGCTCTTGGACAGACTCGGCTGTGAACAAATCCTCTCTTAGAGAATCGACCGTTCACTCATGCTTTGGACGAGAGAAAGTCTGATTAGTCTTCCGCTTGAACGGTGATATCTATAATAAAGAATACCTGTCTCAAGGTAAACAGGAGTTCCCGGCTCAAGCTAAATGATACCGGCGCAAGGTAAGTAAATTCTTTAGTTTAGGGAAGGATCCCAAGTGCCATCGATTTAGCTCTTGGAAGAAGGGAAATTCAATTTTGAAGAGTGGGCATAAATAAGAGATCTTCTCTCTTTCCCGTGCTTTAGGAAGCGAGTGACTCCCGGTCTTATTTAAAGAGAGTGAAATGAGCCAGTAGCTCTGGGAAAGAAGGAAGAGAAAGGGAAGGAATCACTATAGTTACTCAAAAAAAAGGTTCGGAATCGAATCCGCTCAAGCTGTGAACAAAGAAGAAGCTCTTGCCACTGTCGGTCTAAGCGCAGTTGGAGGAAGGGGAGATGGGATGAGTGAGGGTTCAATTCTTTTCCGGAAAGAAAGGTAAGGTGCGGAGCGGCAATCAAGATGGCAAGGAAAGTAATTGATAGAAAGATTGCTACTAACGCTTCGCTAATGAGAGTTGGGAGTTGGCTTACGTTCCTCTGTTAAATAGCTCCGATTCTATCCGAATAAGGGATAAATAGAAAGAACTGGGTAAGGCTGAACTCTTCTTTTCTGGTAGTTGTAATGCTAAAGTATATTTTTCCTCGGTAAGCATTATCCGTGAAATGACTCATTTCCATTACTGTTTTCACTCCAAAAGAAAGAGAAAGACTCGGGGAAGGGCGGACTGGCGGGAAGGGTGGTACTAAATTGAATTGAGTCCCGATATCCTTCGAAAGTACCTTTTGATAACCTTTTCTCATGCAGAACAGAGAAAGGTTAGTCAGACTGAGGGCGGAAAAAGAAGACGTTTTACTTTTTTTTTGTTTCATATGCTCTTGCGATGCGTACCTGATACAGAGAAATCTTTGCCGCAGCACGAAGCCGTAGTTCATCCAAAGACTACAATTCCATACGTGACAGACAGAATTCAGGAAAGCTTTAAAGGTAACAAGGTAGTTATGAAGTCAACAGAGATGCGCGGGTTCCATTCCCTCTGTCCGGAGGGCTTTCGCTTTATATAGAAGCCCCTCAGCACCCGTACAATCAAAAAAATGGAAATTGAATTCAGTGATTGAGATAGCGACAAGTTAAAGCTGAGAGGACGCACCCATTCCCGAAATCCACTTTAATTAAAGCCTTTTCGAAGGCGCGAAAGTTCGCATTTTATCTTTTCTTCAAGCTTTCGCTTGTATTTTCATAGACTAAGTTTAGTAATCACTCTCTAGTAAAGGCACTCGATTAGCTGGAAAAAGCGCTCTTCTTTCCATTTTATGTGATTTGAAGATAGATATAGATAGAACTCGATCGAACTAAATGCTTTTCGTCTTATCGTATATAAGAGAAAGGTTGCTTTTAGGAGTGACCTTTCTCGATTTCAACAAAACAAGCCGATGGTGATCTCACTTTCGAAAGAGAATAGAAAGCGTACTGACTCTGACTGCTATCTACGATGCGATCAGGGGGGAATAGCGCAAGGGCTTAAGTCATCGATTCAAATCCTATCTTTTTTTCGGTATGCCGCTCCGCGAGCAAGGAGCGAATGACAAAGATATATAATAAAATCATGGCTTCCTTTTTGGTTTCATTTTAAGTCCTTCTTATTTTTACTATTTTAGCAACTTTGCTAGAAGTAAAGCTTCTCAAGTGGTGTTTTCAATTCTTTTATTATTTAGTGTTCGATTTAGACTTAAACATCCACGATGATCTCCTGTTATTACTTGTCTTGGTTTTGGTTTTCGTCTCACGGATCTTGGTTCGCGCTTTATGGCATTTCCACTATAATAAGTGTAGGAATTCATGGGTACCTGGGATCACTTGGACCATTTCCACTCTGTGTTGTCTTCTTGACCTTTGCTCTGAGTGGTTGGTCGAACACGCAGAATGTGCAGGAGAGGAGGGTTCCTCAAATGCCCAACTCGATTTGGACTTAACTCTGCGTCCGCCGGGACCAACAGCAGAGGAAATAGAAAGGGAGCTTTCCTCTTTTCTTTCTTCCTTTGGAAATAGGGGAGTGACCTCAAGTGTACTCCAAAATACTAAGATTAAGCTACAATTGGATGTCGCGTCCCCCGCGAAGCTTTTGAAGATCCGGGAACTTCTGCGGGATCTCCAAAGCAGACCGGTTCCTGCTTTCCAAGCGAGAGATGCTTTATTGAAAGCTCTCGCCCGACGGGAGAGGGACCAGACGCGTGATCCATGAGGTTGGCCGCCCAGCGTCGGCTCTACGAACTAACAAGGGGTCGGTCGCGAGAGAGAGAAGGGGTGGTCCGGCGGGTAGGGGGGGCTCGTCAGGGGGAGCAAATCGATAAGTCCTTCGAAAGATAGGGCTTCCCGGAGAATTTGGTGTCTTTCTATTTGGAAACAAAGGACCATAAGTCTAATTAGACACTTCGTCTTTATTGTTCCACTAGCTAGGATAAAATTCTAAGATGTCCCTTGCATTATTACAACCTTCTTTTTTGATGTCAAAGACCAGAAGCTACGCGAAAATTTTCATTGGATCTCGGTTGTTCTTAACAGCGATGGCTATTCATTTAAGTCTTCGGGTAGCACCACTAGACCTTCAACAAGGTGGAAATTCTCGTATTCCTTATGTACACGTTCCTGCGGCTCGGATGAGTATTCTTGTTTATATCGCTACGGCTATAAACACGTTCTTGTTCCTATTAACAAAACATCCCCTCTTTCTTCGCTCTTTCGGAACCGGTACAGAAATGGGTGCTTTTTCTACGTTGTTTACCTTAGTTACTGGGGGTTTCGGGGAAGACCTATGTGGGGCACCTTTTGGGTGTGGGATGCTCGTTTAACCTCTGTATTAATCTCGTTCCTTATTTACATGGGTGCACTGCGTTTTCAAAAGCTTCCTATCGAACCGGCTCCTATTTCAATCCGTGCTGGACCGATCGATATACCAATAATCAAGTCTTCAGTCAACTGGTGGAATACATCGCATCAACCTGGGAGCATTAGCCGATATGGTACATCAATACATGTTCCTATGCCCATTCCAATCTTGTCTAACTTTGCTAACTCCCCCTTCTCAACCCGTATCTTGTTCGTTCTGGAAACACGTCTTCTTATTCCATCTTTTCTCGAATCTCCTTTAACGGAAGAAATAGAAGCTCAAGAAGGAATACCAAAACCTAGTTCACTCGCTGAGTCTCTTTGCATCCATGGCTGAATGGTTAAAGCGCCCAACCGGGCAAATTCGTAGGTTCGATTCCTGCTGGATGCACTTTTTACGTTCAGTTCAATCGCTGCTCACGGAATTGATACATATAGCTCGCCCTTATAGCTTATGGGGCACTTCACTCGCTCAACACTCGTTCAAAACATCCACTCTTTCTTCACTCGCTAGGGAAAGATAAAGGATAGATGACTTAAAATCCCGCTTAGAGATCGCAAAACTATAGTCAGAGTAGGAGTTCCCATCCGTCGAGGCCTCGTTTTACCCGCCCTTGGGACTGGAACTGATTGGTTGCTTGTTGTGACAGCCAAGGTCTGAACATTGTCCCACTTCCCTCATCGGGTTCCTCTCTGTTCATCATGGGGTTGTTGGGATAAAGGTGGGTTTGAGACGCGCGGGTACTCTTGATGCGAAAGGATATGGATCTAGAAGCCGAGATCAAAGCGTTAGTTCAAGATAAGAGCCCTTACGAACCAAGGCTTCTAAAGTTGCCGGAGGGTCCATCATCAAGAATGGCCTAAGATGGTCAGAAGCATTCCTAACAATGCTAGCCACAGCGGAATACTCCGGCAAAACGGGTCGCCATTTCGCGGAATCGAACGCCCTAAGAGGAAGATTTCATTTTATTTCTGTTTCGTGGAACGAAGTTGATCCATGGTCATCGGGATGTCTATGTTGAAAGAGAACCTAACCTGAAGAGTCATTGGTTTTCCAGGTCGGAAAATGAAGTAAACAACTCAGGTGGACAAGAGGCGAACCACTCAGCTGATGAGTCAGCTATACTTTTTTCAAAATAGCCTAATGAGGAGACGATCATAACCTCTGAGCTCAAAGATGGAAAGCAGATTCCTTTTTTCAGGTTTTGCATAGCTTCCCAAGCGCCCGGCTTTCTTTTTGGGTTCCGAGAGGCAGAGTAGCTTCAGCATTAGGGTATGGGATAGAGTTCGAGTGAGGCATCAACCATAGATTGCGGAACTTTCGAGATGCTTCCTTGCGAAAGCCAACGGAGTCTGTACTGTAACTCAACCTTCTCATCCATGGAAGGATTCCTTATTCGATGATAAATGTCAATCGAGGGCACCCTCATTTCCAGAGAGAGAATCAGGCTGCACAGAAGGGGGAAAGCCCTCCTACTGAGCAAGATCATTAATTAATATTAATAAGGAAGCACTTAACTTAGGGCAGCCAGTCTCACTTCACACAGCACAGCGCCTTGCTATTTGCATTCATCCTTGTAACTTACCGAAGCGAGGATCTCATGCTATCATTGAACGGCTACCGAACCGCCATACTCAGGTAACCGGTCTAGGTTCCAAGTACATCAACACCCCATAGCTACTTAGGGCCGCAACGCAATAAGGCTTTTCGCTCTAGTTGGGCAATGCAAGGAGGCCTCTTTCGCCATTCTTTCTAAATGAGAAACTTTTATTAGTTCAGTTCGGTATAACATCGATGAGAGGATAATTTTTTAACAGAAGCATATGATTGCCCCTCAATCGCCAGGTGGCTCGCTCCAGGTGCATGAGCTCTTATAGCGGCCTCTTTCAGTGGTTCTTGCTTGCTCTTTAAAGCTGATCTGGTGCTGTCTCGTTCCTTCAGTTTGTTCTGATTCCGATGAAGGATACTATATTCCGCCTACACAACTACCTTGCTTGGTGGTTCAAAATGGAAGTCTAGGTATCTGCTTAAGTGGTCTGCTCGTACCGTTCCAAAAAGAGCTGCGCTGACAGGCGTATTTTAAAATGTGTTTCCGGGCTCACATATCTAAATTTCAGCGAGATAGGGTGCGGATAGGTGGAATGGAAATTCCACTCCAATCCCTTTAATGGATCCCCGAAGGAGACGGGTGCAAATGGAATTTCAATCAAAGGCGCTATGACCACTGAGCATGCCAACAAGGCAAACTCATAAAATCGTCTCCTGTCCCAGGTCACTGAAAGGGAGATACTCGCAGCCGAGCTCTCGTCCCACTCCCGCTGCCAACTTCGTGATAGAACGACCATGCGAAGGGATACGGATAGGCTGCCCTCCCACACTTAAGGCATTGTGTTACACCTTAAATGTCTGGATTTAGCGTTATTGTCAAGCATCTCATTCACTACTAAAAGAAAGGTATGGATATTCTGCTCGAAAGCTTGACGAAGAAGCGTAAGCAAAAAGCATATTTTAGGAAAGAGGTCCAGGTAGCTCAGCTGGTTACAGCTAATGAATGAAAAAACGTGTGTGCCGATTTAGATTTCCCGTCTTAAGCCCCACCTCGGTAGCTCAGCGGTAGAGCGGCCTCTTGTATAGTTCAACAGGTAGTCGGACGTGGGTTCAAATCCCGGGAAAAAACAGAGAGAGCAGCGAAGGGGCCTTTCCTCGCTTCTGTCTTTTTTTTTATAGATCAGTTCAGTCTGTAAACAAGCAGGTGATTTTTAGCCGGGAAACTGTAAACTTTCGAAAGCAAGCTCACCCACTCTCCCCCAGTGGTTAAACTCTAGGATCTGATTTGAATTCCATATTAAAGAAAAGTAGACATCTGCGGCCTAAAACTACACGAGTGGATAGATTTACGGCTACTACTTCCCGATCTTTGTGAACGTTCACTTCAATAGGATATCTCGTTTTACTAGCTCGACTATAGAGAGAGGAACTAATGGTAACGAGCCAGACCAGATGATCTTCAAAGACATCCTTCACCGATCGATTAGATGAGAGAGGTCATTCAGTGTAAGACCTGAGGTAGACGAACGGTTCACTGTCAGTGGTTCCATACGTCAATCCCATCCTGAAGGAGCTAATGAAAGCCTGAATTCAATATGAAAGTGGGCTCTTCCTCTTCGATTCAAGCAAGTCGACCATTGAATCTATTAAACTGGGCCGCTTCTTCCCCCTCCGCAGGAAGACTTCCTTCTTTCCCTTGCCTGGCTGGTTATCTCAAACCGGCATTCGAACCCACAAAGCCTAGCCGCACCGCCATTGTGCTATTAGCCCTACGCCTAGAAAGCCTCAGTTACAGACTGAACTTACCTATAGGAGGAGGTTTGATTCCATTGCCATTTACTGTTCCATGCGATCTTTACACCGACACCCCCATCTATCCAAGCCTAGTAAAAGGAGAATCAGCTGAAAGAAGAGAGAGCCCCCTTCCCGTTGTTGTCTCTAACTAAACCACCACCAGTACACTCTTCCACTACAGATGCTGAAAACCCGATTCCTTCCCAGGCTTTTCTCTTCTCCCTGACTTGCTAGTACTCAACCTAGAGATGAAAGAAGTAAGAGCCCCCTCTTGTCGCAAAATAGTAAATTAGGTTCAGTTGGAAAAACAGCTATAAATGACCACTACGAACGAAGGATGCAAGTCCTCTCAACAAACTCCATATCTGCAGAAAAAATGCCACTATTCTCAATTCAATATAGTAAGGCGTTTCTAATCTTCCTCGCAGCAAGACTTCTGAAAGCCAGTTGCTAAGAAAAAGATTAGAACAAGAGGGCTCTGGCGATTTCGGAACTAGCTTGACTCATTCCACCCGGGGTGAACGAGAACTAGTTCATCACCAACATGCTTAACTCCTAGGACTTTTGGGATTTAATACTCTTACTCTTTTTGACCAAAAGATGGTGAAGAGAGGAGCTAGATAGAAGTAGTTTTTAATGAGGAGAGGGAAATCTGGCCATTAGTTAAGTCATTTTTTGTTTGGTCATAAGTTGGTTAGAGAAAAGTAATTAGTTCAGTTTTAGGCATACACTAATAGTAGGTTACGATTCAAAAGAAAGAGAGATTCAAGCCAATCGACCGGCTAAGAGGACTATTCAAATTCTAAAGTAGATGTTCATGCTCATATAGCTGCAAAATGACACTTGACCTATTTCCCTTATAGACAGACATGGAAATTAGAAAGTGTCTATCTTATATAGCTGTCAAATGAGACTTTCACTTTTCCCTTCGTAGAGCAGATCATGAATTGAAAAAGTTCTATCTGGGCAAAATGCTAATTTTTTATAGATTTCCGGGCACCAATCCCGACTTCTCCCGTTGCTATAGTATAATAAGAGATAGGCGCCTACCTTAAAGTCACCTATCGACACTCAAGCCTGTTCATCCTGCTTTCTTTCCTTTATAAGACTGGAAGAGATAGAAGGCTCTCCTGTCTTTGCCCATTGATAGATATGCCTGAAGTACCGGAACTCTCTCCCTTAGGGCTCTCTTTCCGTAAGCCGGTGAGGAGTGAGGGATCTACTGAGACTGAGCCATCTTCGCTAGCCGATCTGTCAGTTCTATAGGGTATGAAGCTCTTTCCTAGTATTGGGTTCAGGAATTCATGCTCGCAGGTAAAGAGACTAAAGAAACAAGAACATAAACAGTCTCTTGAAAGAGGGGAGCATTTGCCCACTCTGTGGTACATGAGCTCCTCGTCCAACTTACTGTCTTCCGATTTCATATCAGTTACAAGCTTGTCATTTCAATCACTTGCTACCTTTAAAGGAAAGCAGTTCGCCCATTGAATCGATTAATCTAAGTCCCCTTCCTATAGAGTGAACGTGAAAGCCGGTCTATAGTCCACCATGCTAATGGAATGTCAGTGACACAAGTAGTAAATTCATTCGTTGACAGGAGCGAGCAGAAAGAGAGAGCGTAAAGAGGGTCTTATCATGATGGCCTGCTTTCCTTTCTCCTGTTGCAGTAGACTACAGTCTTACCACTAGAATAGAAAATAGGTCCAAAAGCAGGAAGCACAGTCAGGAAGGTAAGTTAGAACTCTTTTCTGAATTCCTATCTATAAAGTCAGGCTTGTCTATACAATACAACAAAGTGAGGTAAAATCATTAGTTAGGCTAGTGGGAAAAAATTACTCTGTTTCCGTCTTTTGAAAGAAGTAAGGTGTTCTTCCTTCATCCTCCATCCACACTACGAGGGCCGGCCGGAATATGTTTGGCTGTTCAATAGCCAATTCCATTTCGGTTCATTTTGGTATGCTGGGAAGATGAAGAGATGAACTTTAGAATTCAGTTACAGAGAAATTCAGCAAGAAGCTTTCGGGTTGGAAAGGTGCCCGCCCTCTTAGGTCAAGCTGGTAAGGCCTTGTTTTTAATGAAATCCACTCTTCAAAGCTTGCCTTTATTCCCTCCTTGTCCGGGGTCCCGAAAGGAATGGCTGGTAGGATTGAAGGAATTCGGACGAAATGTCCACGGTCTGGTGTTGGAGGGAGAGACAGAATTCATCTCATCGCATGGGAGAAGGCTCTCCGAAGCTTCGATTTGGAGGCTTGGGCTGGAGCTCTAGCTAGTTGGACTAGAAGCTAGTTATTCCGGTCTACTTGTTGGGCAGGCCGGCCCTCCTTCATCCCTTCGTTCCAATCCATCCAGACTACTATGGCAACCCGTACTAATTGCCCTTGCACTGATACCGGTAAGGGGAGCGTCGGCCAGAAGATAAGGGGAAAAATCGCACAGACTTCTATACAGGGGAAGGACCTTATAATTATAAGAAAGGAAAGATTTCAAAAAGCAGATTAGGTACTTCCAACAGGAGAATAAGAAAGGAAGAAATAAGAGTGGAGAAAAAGGGAAATGGAATTCTTCACAAAGGGAGGGAACGCAAGGGGGACAGCACTAAGAAATCGGAAAAGGGGTCAAAGGAAGGGACACATCTTGATAGGGCAACAACCGGGTATAGGATATGGAAAGAGATCAACATGTTTTCTCGAACGAACAGATTTACACCGTCAATGACAGCGCACCAAGGGAACAACGGACAATCACGGCAAAGGCAAGCACGAATGCTGCTGCCTACGAGACCCATCCAGGGGAATCTTACACTGCGCGCAGAGAACCCCTCTCACTTTAGACAGAGAGGGAATGACGATGGGTAGCCAAACCGTGAGGCGAAGAACTCAACCGCTATACACGAGGGAGCAAGTGGAAAGAGTAGAGCAGCACCTTGCCGTAGAGAGGGTCCTAGAAAGGTTAAGAGTTCTGCACCGGTTGGAGTGGAATAGGAATCTAAAACAGAATTCGAGCAATTGGCTTTAACGAACCTATTTCATTAGAATGATCGAAGAACCCGCTTATCTATAGAAAGAGGGAGAGAGAATGAGAAATCACTCGACTGTTAAGGAGAGGAGGGGAGAGTTCGACCGCCCTAAGCCAACCAGAACGGCAAAGAAGAGTTATATTCGGCGACCGGTAGGGAGAGGAGAGGATGGGAGGAGAGAACGTCGACCATAAGGGAGACAGCAGTTACTTCGATGTGAGCAGAGTGCCCATTTCCTTACTTAGACTAACCTTCGTTTAGAAAGTCTCTCCCCTCGCTCTGACTCTTCCCATACTAAGACTTTTGTTGATCTACCTTTGACTTACTTCCTATCTCTACCCTTGATCCAAGGTAGCCGAAGGAGGGATTTTTACTAAGCTTTGCTGAAAAAAGTTGCAAACTTAAGTTCCGAAACTTTAGTCTTAACTTCGTTTAGTCAGAAGAACTTAGAACGGCGGTAGCAGGGCGAAAGGCAAGGTCACATCCTGCCGTCATAGCTTGCCTCCCATTGCTTCGTACGAGACAGAGAAAAAAAAAGAAATATAAAAAGAAAAATGGAAATAGTGAATCAAGATATAGACTATCCTCTATCCGGATAGATAGGCCCCTATGAGCGACTATGCCGATCTTTAGATGTTTTGGCCACGTGCGTTTCCGCTAAGAAGAAGAAGGTTTGGATCTTTAAACCTTAAGAGGATGCTATCGAATGTGCTCTTGGCGCACGTGAGGGATGTGACCTATGTTAGGTCCATAAGATAGCACAGCTTTTAGTGTTCTATGATTCACCTCCGAATAATGAGTAGATAGGGAAGAGCTTTTTATTTTTCTCTTCATAGAAGACTGATGGGTGGAGCAAGAGGTCAAATTACTATAGAAAGAAGAGTTGTAAACTATAGGACTTCTTTTTCTAGTAGTAAGATTTAGGGTTTTTTCGTTCCTTCTCTTCGATAAGAATATCGATTTGAAATGATAAAAATGCCTCTTTATTCTCTTGTGCTCAGCGAAAGAACTGCCTAAGCATACTTTTTCGGATCCAAACTTCTTTGTTCTTTCTAAGTCTTCGTCTTGCATAGAAGAACGCAACTGTTGCAAAAACGGGTCTTTCAGTAGTAGGCGGCATCCCCTCTTAGTTTTAAGTAAGCGGAACCATTCCGTTTTGGTTCTTCTCCACATTCTTACCGGGCTATCCAGGAATTTTCCTATGATTTTAGAAACTGAAATTTCGATATAGAAGGATCTCCTTATTTCTGAATAGATTAGAGTATCATTTTCTTTAAAAGATATGAAATCACCTTGGGAAACTTGAAAAGAAGTAATGCTGACTATTACATTATTAACAAAAAGCCTTCGATGACTTATCGGCTGCCTTGCTTGAGGAAGAGTTTCACTAAAATGGAGACGAACCGGAATAACGTCCGATCTTGTTTCTGGATTGAGTGGAAAAGGGATATATGAAGTTCGTTCTGTTCCTCTATGCATCTCTGTGATGGGTAAATCTCCATGAAAAAGGGGCAACTTTCGTGTAGTTTGTAATTGGATGTAACTATTCAGATTTTTTCGAGAATAAATCATTCTCTTAATAGATCTCGTCTTGTTCCTCAATCTTCGAAGAATGCGGCGTTGTATTATTGTAAGTTTCCTGTTCCAAACATTTCCTTCAAGTAGACGACAAGTTTTAAATCTTAATGCGGGCATTCCTCCCTTACATGCATTTGCTTGCAACAGATTCTTACTAAGACCCCATAGACACGGTCTCGGTATCTTCACTGTTGCCCCTCTTCTCAAAGCCCTTCGAGAGGAAGATGAATGTCAATGTGCCATTTTCTTCTTTCCCCTACTATTTACTCTTCTCCTTCACTGCACACTTTAGATAGATGTTTCCATCCAATCAAAGACGGCGAAGCGCCTCTAATCTAAAGGCCAAAGAGTGCTCTTTGCGCTACTACGCATCCTTACTCATAGTATAGTGCAAGTTAGGTTTGGGTATAGCAGGACTTGAACCTGCGACCATTAGGTTAAAAGCCCAATGCTCTACCAACTGAGCTATACACCCCAAAAAAGATGTAGTAGTAAATAAGGATTGGTGCGGAAAAGAAAAGAGGGCGGCCCCTCTTCATCATATTAAAGGGGCGCGGCTTTGTATGAGGCTCGTACTGCAGAGCAAGCGAAGAAAACGTAAGGGCGCGCGCTAGCACTCCTGCAAGAAAACGGCCTAGCTAACGCGCCCCTTATTGAAAAGTCAAGGATATTGAATGATCGATATGAGAAAGAAGCGCTCAAGCATTCGAAGAAAGCCGGCCTTACTCAACAAGCACCTTTCTTAGCTTAGTAAGGTTGCTTGTTTCCACTCATTGAAGATTCTATCTACAAAAAAAGGTCAACGGGGGGTACTAAAATGGCTCTCACTGACACCATCTACGAGAAGGTGAGGTCGTCTTTATTTCCAGCCGCCATACGGTTCGCCTTAAAGCCTTAAAGACGGAGAAGGGGAGGAGCAGTTATCTATGTAATTACGGTCTTTGTTGGCCGGGGCGAGCACTCTCTTTTCTTTGTAAAATTCCGTCTTACCAAACAAGACTGACTTCTTACCAACCCGCGAAGGGTTGTGAGGCTGGACCAGGTACGAAGAATGAATCTATATCTGTGCACGGAAGGGCCGGCGGCCGCTCAACTGTTCGAGCGCAATGCAGTGGTATTGGTTCCGATTCGACAAAGGTAGAATGCCTGGTCGAAGGTCCAGTACAGTAGGTAGCAGGCGTGTTCGTTTTGGCTCCCGAGCGAGAACGAGAAAGAGGCGATGCACCATCCTTGCTGCTACGTACGTTGACCTTGACTTGACAGATTCATCCAATTGAACCCAAACTCAAAGGAGGACCACAAGCTCGGGGCTCGACGAAAGAGAAAGTCTCGGCATTAAGAAAATGGGGTTAGCTGTGAAAGAGGCATTCATTTTTTCATGAATATTCATAGCTGAGTCTACTAAAAGAGGGACCAGCTCATCGTAGTGATTAGAGGACACCTCTGATCGTTCACCTCTAATGTGACACGTTCCCTCCCAGTTTGATCAACGGGATCAGTCGGCTAGAGAGCGGGGCTATTCTTCTTCCGAGGAGACAAAGTAGTCTCTTGTACTGACCGAACCCTCAGTTCGGAGGTCTTCGTCAACATGTTACGAAGCTCCAGTCTGGCGGTCAACTTGATGCGGGAGAGGCATGAGTGCAGTTCGATCTTGTGGTGTATTCCTTTGTAGTGAGTAGGGCCTCTTTCTCGTTGATCAGTTCGCCTCCGCTCTATTGAAAGGTCTCCATTCCTACGGCGGTTTTGTCAATGAACCCGTGGATAAGTAGGCCTTTCTTGCAGACCGATCTTCTGCCGAGTTCCTTCCTTCGTAGTCAAATCTGATGATACGCTTTGGCGATGTTACCTACCAAAGAAAAGGCCTGCTAGGTGATCGAAATCGCTCAGGTCAGCGAGGACTCACTCACCTACTCCTTATCTAATACTTTCTTCTATCTACTGAATTAAAAAGGCGACCCGCCGCGCCGGGCTATAAGATAAGAGACAGCTGTTGTACTACTTGACTGGTAAGAAAGAGCTTCCGTAAGAACTGGAAGACTCTTGTATGTACGGTAACCCTATCTTCCGCTACTGGTGGACTGTTGCACATAAAGGCCGACAGAAGCAACCTTTCTTAGCGCGCTTTTCAAGCGCTTAGCTTCTGCTATAAAAAGGCGGCAAGGCCATAAAGTAAGTGAAGTTGCAAGCCTAAGCCAAGAAGGTACGAACGAAGTGACGGGCCCTTTTAGAGAGAGGGGCGGCTTTCTTGTGGTAGTCATTGCGAACATCTCTCCTCTTCTCTTAGCGTGCACAGTTTGCTTACGCCTTAGGCACATCTATCTTTCTTAGTTTCACGCTGGCCTAATGAATTGAATATGAATAAAAGTCAGTCTTTTAGTAAGCGTATATAAGCAGCTGTTTAGTGTATAAGCAATTCTTTAGTGGTCGCACCGGTACGATGGAGGTTGGTTGAAGATGATGTTACGCGGCGTTCAGAACCAGTCTTGAAGTGAATGAATTAGAAAGAACGAAGAAGTAAGGAAATGAGACGACTCTTTCTTGAACTATATTATAAACAGACCTTCCCCTCCACACCAATCACGAGTTTTTCTCCATTCCTCTCATATATCGTCGTAACGCCCTTAATGCTAGGTTTTGAAAAAGACTTTTCATGTCATTCCCATTTAGGTCCGATTCGGATCCCTCCGTTGTTTCCTTTTCCTTCCGCACCTTTTCCTCGAAATGAGAAAGAAGATGGTACACTTGAATTGTATTATTTAAGTGCTTATTGCTTGCCAAAAATCCTACTTCTACAATTGGTAGGTCACCGGGTTATTCAAATAAGTCGTGTTTTCCGTGGTTTTCCCATGTTACAACTTCCGTACCAATTCGGTCGATCCGGAATGGATCGGTTAAACATTCCATTAGGGAGCCTGGTCTTGACTTTTCTGTGTGGTATTCATTCTCGTTCGGCTCTTGGAATCACATCCAGCAGTGGTGGGAACAGCTCGCAAAATCCAACCACTTCACCTACTTCATTGCCCCCAACCCTTTCTCGTACCTCTATTGAAACAGAATGGTTTCATGTTCTTTCATCGATTGGTTATTCCTTTCCGTTCGTATCTCTTTCTCCAATTTCGGTCTCGATTAGTTCACAAGATTGAATGGCCAATTCTCCTCCGGACCCTCGATTCGATTGTTTTCCAAGAATGTTGAGCCGGGTATGTAAGCCATGTATCTGGGAGGAACTTAAAAGAAGGGCTTTCGGTTTTTTTCACCCCGTTTTGTGGTCTTGCAGCTATTTAAATAAATAAGAATATAAAATTATATATATATATAATAAGACTTTTTTAGAAGAAAGATTCTATATATGTCCAATCCCCAGTGGTGGTGGGACCAACCAAGATGTATGTCGTCCAACCCAACCTCAGACTCTTTCTTCCCGACCTATTTGACTCTCTGGCCGCAGTTATAGTTATTTAGGTGGTATCCCGCCGAGATTGAAGAGATCGAATTCCTCCGGGGAACACACGAAACAAAGATATGAACTGGGTAAATAGAAATGGAAAAGAGATGTTTCCAATTCATCAAAATGAGAAGCTTTTTCTACATCCATATGATCTACTAAAGTAGATCGGTATTGCCCATATAATAAAAGCAGATCTTGGTCCATGGAATCCCAAGAAGGTAAGAACTCCAACCTGTCCGATGCTTCTTCGGCCAAATACGATATACAAGTGGGACCTGCACTATGCGCAAGCTGTGCGAAAAACCGCTTCTTTTTTCCGGTTCTGAAACAACTTGGGCGAAATAGGGTTCTACCGGGAAACCATGGATTTTTTAGTTTTCGCCATTGGTTACTGGTTGAGCCACTGGAATGGAATGAGATAAGAATCTCTGGAGATCTTTCCTCTCCACTTACTCGTAACAGGCTTTCCCTCTGTAGAAGACTTCTTCCGAATGGCATAATTGGGAGATTGATTCCTCGATCTTCAAAGAAAACTGACTCCTCCTACTCCTTCTTCTCCTTTAGGATAGGATCGTCGTTGGTCCTTCTTTCACTAATGATCTAATGATCTCACCATTTTCTAGTAGTTCTCGCGAACGCGCGAGGGACTATCCTTTCTATCGCTTGCCCTTTCTTTTCACTCTCAAGACAAGGCTCTCTCTCTTTTATAAAGCGAAGCAAAGCGCATGGCGCTGAAAGCTCAATAAACACAGACGAACACGATGCAGGGCATAGCATAAATGAAACCGCTGATCATTTCATAAAACATATATGCTTGACCTTTCTCGATGCTTTTTTTGGGTGACTCACCAACCGACCCAGCAGTGATCGATGACAGAATGGTACGAACAAATCAAAGTCATTGGATTTGGTAGTTCTCCATGGACTTCTCTCTTTAGCCCTTTGTATATGTTCATAAATGGGTGTGCACCTCCAGATGGGCGGGGGCCGGCCTCCACTCTCTTATCTTATGCAGCATTTATTAGCGGTTGGGTGGATCGTGCAATAAGCCTCTCTCGACCTCCGTTTCTCATACGTCTTTATGAAAGCCTCTCGCCTTTCGAGATCCGGTCCATCATCAACTCAGTCAGATCTTCTTGTTTGCCCGCTTTGATTAGGCTTCCTTTAACGGATTTGATCGGCATTTCGTGCCTGCAGTCCTGCTGAATTCGACCTTTTATCAGGGTAGCGTAGTAAGGTTAGAGGCGCAACTAGAAGAGTTGGCCCTATTTTCTTTTTTGATCAATTCGATTGCAGTCTCCGAAGTCCTTTTTGATCGATGGTCCCCATTAGCATTAGTGCTAATTAGCAGCCGCTTTTTTTGGAAGGCGAGATACTTATGTGTGACCGCGGATTCCACGGTAGCAGTAGTTCTAGCTCTACATTAGGAGCAGGGGGGCTCTATCTAAAGGAGGTACGGACCCCTCCCATAGTACGGTACGATGCAGCTGAAAAACTTAATAGGCTACCGCGGCTCGCTTCGCTTTTGTTGCGGAGCTCACTGCTTTTGGAGTAGTGCTTGCAGCTTGCTGCTTTCTGTTCAAGCGGAGCTCGCTGTCTACTCCACGAGTCGCCACAGCTTCGCCTACGCCACTTGTATAGACAACAATAGCGCCAAGATTTCCCCTTCGCGTAGTTCATTGAACCTTCCAACTTCACTCCGTGGCCTGTGCTAAAGAAGCGTGTCTTAACTAATTCCTTTGAACTCATTTCACCTATTCTACCTCTCGATATCTCCTCACCTTGCACCTTTTCTTCTTTTCCTCATCCCATGATCCTTTCCCATGTCGTGGAAGTGAGCTCCTTCGTCGCTCCTTCATTCTTCATAACGACTATAACCAAGCTGCCAACCAATAAAGCAAGCACCTTCATGGACTGAGACCGTGGAAGCTCCGTTAGCACCTTAAGGCTGTCTTTATCCTGAGAACCCTCGGGAATATTCAGAGACTCGGCTAATGCTTCTAGGCCCACATTCGGAGACAGACCAAGCACCTCTCTTACCCACTCACTATCTAATAAACCGACTGGCTTATTATCTGAATGAGATCGGAAAGAGAGGAGGTAGCCCAAATCTTCCAATAGGCGCATACGAAAGGTTCTGAAAGAATTGAAAAAGCTCTGAAAAATAAACAACCCGACCTGAGGAACTACCAACAACGGAAGAACTAGCAACAGCGGAGAAAACCGTTTCTAACCTCAGCTTCACCCCCTTCGGGATTCTTTTTTTGATGATATGCCTAAGCCCCTTTCAGAAGACGAAGTCATTGGTGCTTTGCATAAGGGTAAGAGCGCCATAAAGCTATTGGTACCTATCATAGACTTGACTCATTTTATGGGCTTGAATTCCTTTCCCCGAGTTAGAGGGGTTTTCTGAAGGTCTTCCTCAAGGGCCACTTGGTTCTCAAAAGACTGTTACCCCGGCCAGAGTAGAAGTAGGCAAACGGATGTTTCTGGGGGAACTACGGGAGACGGAGACAGGTGGTTAGGCGAGATTCTAACTTCTGGCTCATCGCAATTCCAATTTCTTAAAGTGCAAGTCCAGTTTCTCTTTTTATGAAAGTGAAAGTCAGGTTAGCCCCTTCTTTCAATTCCAAAGATGCTCTCAAATTGCTTTCAAGATTATTTTACCCTAAGGCTTCTCGCGTCAGGCAAGCGTGGCAGAGCGTAGCATGTATCCAGCCATCCGAACTACTTACTGAAGGGCAAGCACCAACGAATTACTCACTTCATTCACAGCGCGGGGAGAGACAGAGAGGGGTCAGTAATAACTCACAGCCGG